TATGTACAGAAGGTGTTAATTCTTATCATACTGCTACAATACATTAAAACTTCTGGAAAATGCTGCAAAATACATGTTTTTGGGGCTCTGCCCTGCCGATTTCAGAAATTCCTAGTATATGGACTTGAATACAAGTTAAAAATAACACCACATTTTCAGCAGCAAAATTCTAAGAATCAGATGCTCACCCCACCCAACCTCAGTTAAGTCCGGAAGAATCCGCAGAAGCAACTGGATGGGATCAAGCAGAGCGTGAAAACCTGTATTCCAAAGCAGGATAGAGAAAAGAAGATCACTTGAAAATGTCAGTGTGAAGCTGGTTCTGTATGAAACGGAGAATTTCAAGTGTGAATGTGTGTATGTGTTTGTGCATGTGCTGAGGAAAGTAGGGTTGGCAAGGGAGACACAGGAGAGCTTTGTGTTCAGTGCTTACTCTGACACAGCTCAGCCTGTTCCCTATCTCTCAGTTTCACTTCTGAATGTGCAGGAACATGCGGTGGCTCCTTTTTCCCACTATCTTCATCATCTCTTGTATGCAACAGGTAAGTTCATTAAAAAGAAGAAAAAGATTTCTCCCTTCCTCACTCTCTCCAGGTTTAAAGTTTTTATTTGCTTAATGACCAAAAAAAAAAAAAAAGAGAGAGAGAAGCAAAATCCTCATAAAGAATAAGAAGCCATTCACTACTCCTGAGTAAACTTCATTTGCAGCTTATATACGGCATCAGTCCTGATTCTGGTATTTTTTTTTCCTCTTTAATCTGTGTATTAATACAATTCTGTTGAAAAAAAGTGTTAGAGAAGCTTAAATTCTCAGTGACCTTGTCTTTTTTGTTTTAAATTTAAGCACAAATGACTGTCTGATGCAGTAAAAGAAAGTAACCATCTTGTCCCTGCTCATATTCCAGATATATATACACTGATCTGACTTCAGGCTTGTTTTACAAATTAGAAAGGTGACTGGGCTGTGTTGTTTTGTCTCTTGTGAGACAATTTTAAGTGGTAGCTTTTGCTAAAGGTATTTCTGTGTCAATGACCAATTTCATTATTTATTTTCTTAACAATTTAATTAATCTTCTTCTTCTTTTGAAAATATGCTTTACAAAGCACAGTATTTTTCCTGCACTAGAGATCAAGATGAATATCAAAAGGAGAATATTCAAATGACAATCTATTTCTGATAACTTTCTTTCAGAATATTTAAAGCTAGACTAAGATAACAGAACATAAATAATAATACATTGCCTACTTTTGCTATTTATTTATGCCATACAGACCTTGCTCCATCTTAAAAATGCAAGAAAACAAACAAAAAGCACGTGAAAGGTTGCTGCACAATGGTGTGCTTTCCTTATCTGCCCATACAGGAAAAGTATGCAGTGGGCTTGTGTGATGTGGATAGCTTTGATATAAAAACTTTGGGAAGTAAGAATTTGAAAATATTTGGCCTGTAAACTTTATAGGCAGACTTTAAATGTTCATCATACCTTACAGATTTTTGAAAAATTTTCAGGTAGACTGAGTTATTCGATAATTCCACCGTTAAAATTATCAGATGTTCCCCTGACTGTTATTTTTCTTCCTGGGAAACTTTGTAGACTCACATCGGTAGGTTGGCATCTTTTCTTAAAAAAAAAAAGGGAAGTCAAAAAGGTTGCTTATGTAGAATTCTATAGGTTTAAGTACATTTTAATTTGTAATACAAATTGAAACTTAACGGTCAAAACACACATATTATTTCCTGCTATACACATCCATTTTGAAATAAGGTATCTGATCTAGGCCTCATAGCCTCATATAGCTGGCATATGGCCAAATCTGTAATAATATTAGTTTCGTTAAAAAAAAAAAAAAGACCTAGCAACAAGAGAGTGAGTTACCTCATGCAATTAGGCTTGAATGCTGCTAACTGCATAGGAACACCTGTTTTCCACATATCCTGTCTCCAGAACCAGCCGTTAAGAAGCTTTATGCAAAGTGCATGCGTTCAACAAATCAACATTATAGTTTATATGAAAAGCTTAGCTGCTTAGAATACACTTAAGTACGCATAAGTTAGTGGTTCCTGTATTATTACTGCATTCTAGTAGAACGGATTAGAAGAAATCATCAGCAAATGATTAAATTAATGACTAACAAAATAACACATTTATGAAACTATATTCTGTGTACTGCACAGAATACAAGATGACATGGTTTAATATTTAGTTATTATATGAAGTGCCTCTGTGAACGAACACGTATCTTAAAAATCATTCAGCCAAAGGAACTTGAAAGCTACAACTTTGGAGCTTCATAAGTAGTTGTGGATTAAGATGTCATAAGTACAGTTGTAAAGGACCATAAAAATTGAAATTAGAGGTAGAGAAAAAACCTTCTAAAAAGTCATTTGCAGCCTGCAATGAGGCCAGCTCAGTTATGCTGCAAGAGCTTTCATTTGATATAACATGAAATGCTGAATTCTGCAGATTCTTCTAGTTTGCCAGTTGACTTGAAAGGAACAAACAAATATGACCTCCCCTCCAACTTTCTCTCATTGTCGCTGTGCAAGGCTGTTTTAAAGAACAGCAGAGCCTTGCAGTTTGGAAGAATGGAGATAAACTGATAGTGGGGGCTTTGTGTGCCCAGAAAAACGTAGAAAATGTTTTTTTTTCTGCAAGCTAGATGGTGGCAATGGCACCTGACAAGGGACTGGATCTTGTCTTTCCCTCTTGCTTTTCGGGCAGTCAGAGCTGCTAGACCTTCCAAGCTCCCAAGTCTTACACTGTACTAGCAACCAAGCATTGTCCCGTCAAGCCCCCACCCCTTAGCTACAGAACCATCCATCCAGATGAATAAGAATCTCAAGGTCTACACTTCTGCTGAAATCAGCATTACAATATTTAATGCTAAGATCTAAACTGTTTCTATGTTTTAGAAGTAATTCTTCAAAACAAGAGACAGAATATACCCCTCTCAAAGAAATCCTTTCACGCTCCGTGCAGACTCAACCTTCCCCCATGCCTCAAAAAACAAACCATCAAGAACTACTTAAGGCTTTCTTATTAAAAAACAAAACAAAGCAAAGCAAAACAAAACATGATTTCTGAGACAACGTGGAAGCAGTAAATTCAGGCTACATCTTGTCTTTCTACTGCTGATACCAATCAATTTCTGAGACACCTCTTTCCCCCTGTAAGCCCTGGATTCACAGAACACTTACTCATGCAAACAGATAAACTCCAGGAACAGACTTAAGCTCACCGCAACTACTAGCATCTCTTACTACGGGCAGAATTCAATTTTTGCAGCTAGTACAAGACAATTTGTAAATGATATAGTACTCCTTTCCAAACAGCTACTCAGATTTTTGAGGAAAAATAACGCTGAAAGACATTATTTTAAAAGACTTTTGCCATCAAAAGTGACACAAAGGATAGCAGTTGGCTATCAAATAGCAGGAGGAGCCCAAAGCTAATTAACTTGATAGAAGGTTCTTATGAAAGAAGTGTTAAAATAAATCTGCCATCTATTTTAAACTCTTTTCCAAAACCTTGTAAAACCTTTAACTCTATTACAGGTTTTGCTCCATAGAAGGAAAAAGAAAGACCAGTGAACTGTTTTTCAGATAAACAGTAGATCAGACTCATCATTGAAATGACACTTCAATGTATTAAAGTTACTGACGACATCAGTCTCCTACCTAAACCTCACAACGTGTTTCCTTTGTGGATCTTGTGAGCTTATGGAAAATGTCTTAGTGGCTCCATGAAACTTCACACTTTCTTCCATCCCAACTCTTTTTTATGGTATTACAGCTATGCATAATGTATTCAGCTCTCAAAAAATCCCACTCTATGTAAGTTTTCCTTCAGAGCACAAGCCCACAGCCTGCAAGGAGTGAAGCCTGGAGCAAAACCTTCAGAAACCAGTGAAGTCCACCAGCGAAAGGAGTTTTGTCACTGGCCATGCAGATGCCCGCTCGTGCCAACCTGCACCCCTGGGGTAAGCTTGGTAAAAGATGGTTGTGGCTGTTGTAAGGTCTGTGCCAAGCAGTCTGGAGAGACCTGTAATGAAGCAGACATCTGTGACCCCCACAAAGGTCTCTACTGCGACTACTCTGAAGACAAGCCTAAGTATGAAACAGGCGTGTGCGCATGTAAGTAAGCTGCTCTTTCATATTCTCTTTTTGAAATCCAGCAGGGTGGGACCACACAGGTGAATGGTTTCGAAGCTATGTGACTTATACAAATTTAGAAATCCTATTGTTCAGTCAGAGAACCGGAGACCAGGGCAGGGGCTATATTTGAACTTACTTGCTTATGCATCAGTGAAACCAGTTCACTGTGCATAACCTTGTTATTTGCAGACATGTTTATGACTGATTTAAAGTTAAGCAGCTGAAGCTATCACTGGGCACAGGTAAAAAAGACGTACTTGAACTACTAAGAACTTGAAGCTGTGAAAGCAGAAAACTCAGTACATGATAGTCATATTTTAGCACTCTGTAAGGAGAAACTATGCACTCATAATGTGTTAGTAACTGTTGTTTACCATTTGCAGATCTGGTAGCTGTAGGATGTGAGCTCAATGGAGTTTATTATCTTAATGGGCAGACCTTCCAACCTAACCCTCTTTATAAGTGCCTGTGTGTCAGTGGTGCAATTGGATGTACACCTGTATTCATCCCGAAATTAGCAGCAAGTCCCTGCACCAGGGTCCCGGGCAGAAAGAAGTCTGGACAATCCATCTGCAGCCCTGGACAGCACAAGCAACTTCAATCAACAAATTACAGACTCATGTCAGGTGTGCCTGAATAGACTGGTAAACTTTCCTGCAGATGAGGCTCATTTAATTCAGTATTCCAGCTTGCTGAGGACAGAAGGGTAGGAGAAGGTGCTTGATCATCCACTCATTCCTCTCCCTTCTCCACCAGCCAGGCTGACAGCCTGCACTGGCAGTCTCTTAATTCTCCCTCAAGGCCATTGCCAGGCTGACTGGTCTGTCCCAATAACCCCTCATTCTCTTAGCTCACAGACTCTTTTCTCCAAGCCTGGATGGATATGAAAAGCGAAAAGCCTTTCGGCTTTTGCTGTAAGGGAACTGGCCAAAGCAATCTTCAATCCATCTTTTTGCAGATTTTTACTGCTCATCGGAATAGACTAATCAGAGTGTCAGCGTGCAGATGTTTGGAAAACTAGGAGCTTCCTTGCTTCTTTTGTGGTGGGGAGTCTTGGTTATCATGAATCCAAATTAGCATGTTGCAGGCCTCTTCTTTCAGTAGAAAGCAGAAAATAATGAAGATTGCCGCAGCTGCTTCCCTTGATTGGTCAAAAAAGTTCAGGTCACTGAAAGGACAAAGGTCCCCTCCATTTCTTCTCTATTCAGTCTGATCAAAAAGATACAGCAGTTTACATATGCAACACTGCTAGGATCAGCTCATAATCCCGTTAGCCTTATTCTTGCTCTGCAGCTAAAACTGTAGTTCCCTTATCACCCTAAGAAAGCATCACTGCCAGAAGCAGCTATCTTGGCCCTTCCTGACGCAACCACCTGCTCTGTGCTGCCTCCTTCCCTGTGCACTTGCAAGCATTTACATGGTGAGACTACTCTTCAGTAACACTAATGTGGGCACAAGAAACAGCAGAGCCCTTCTTCAGGTCATACAGACTCTCTTAACTGTTCCTTCTCCAAGATGCAGGTGATGGAGAAGGGCAGCTAACCAGGCCAGTACACTCAAATGGACCAGAGGCATGCCTCTTCCAGTGAGATTCCCAGAGCTAGCATGAACTGAGCTACAAAAACACAATATGGAATGTCTGCGCCAATGGAGGTGCTTGAAAACAGCAGACAACCTGAAAAATGAGGAACCAGACACGTGCAGTCCTCCCTGTCCCCCAAATATTTTGAAGCATAAACTTCATTTTCATCCTATTCCCCCTCTAAAGAAAAGTACCTTGAAGTATTGTTTCAAAATGAGGCCTTCCCCCTTCCCATTCCCAGTATGGCAAAAGTAAATTAGTGTAAAGTTGTGCATGACTTGCATGAATGGTTCAATAGACTAACACCTATTTTGAAAGTCGTCTTTTTTTTGCTGGTGCGGACAACAACTGCTAAGTTTTATTTTACTTCACTGCTCTTGCTTTGTTTTCCTGCTTTCTTTGTGCATTCTATTTACCTAATTTATATAAATAGGAATGTAGGTAGATCATATTTTAAAAAATGTGCTAAGTATAAACAACTATTTAACTTCATTTTATTTGTTACAGATATGTGACAGGCTAAATTTTAGTCTGCTTGCTGCAATGAGATCTTTAAATTGCTGTCTACCTTCCAGGTACCCTTGTAATTCTGCCTGTGCTCTCTAAATGCACAGATTCAAGTCTTTTTATTTTTATTTTTTGCAGAATTTCACCACCAACTTTTGCACTACTTACAATTTTAAGTTTTTTTTTTTTTAAATATGCCCAACCTAATAAAAGCTCTAATCCATCAGAAAATAGGCCTTTTGGTGATATCTGGAAATGACTGGAGAAATGTTTTCTCCTCAGTACAAAATCTAAAGCCTTCACAGTATCTACTAACAATCTGCTATGTTTTCAACATCCACTTTCAAGCTGTGCTTGGCCTAAGCTAATTTTCAGTCTCTTCCCACATTTCATAAAAATTTCTCAAAAAACTTACCACATAACATTAAACCGGAGGCTCATACAACACATGCAATTTCATAATCCTTCCTGGGGTCTGAATATCCAGTGTCAGTTAATTTAACGGGAAGTCAGTGCCAAAACTCTTTTATAGCTCTGCTTGTGCCTCATCTTTAGATTTACCTACAAAAGCATCTTCATGAACAGAAATCAAATGCTTATGCTTTCATTTTCAATTAATCCTTTTGGGGCTGTTTCACTGCGTAAATTATATATTGCTGTCTTAGCTTACAGAAACTTACCGCTAGTTTTGAAGAAAAAGTGCCTAATACAGGCAACTGCTTGGACACCCTGTTCCAGGACCTGTGGCATAGGCATATCCAGTAGAGTGACCAACGAAAACAGTAATTGTGAAATGAGAAAAGAAAAGAGATTATGCTTCATTCAGCCTTGTCAGACTAATATATTGAAGACGATAAAGGTACTTTCTAACATGAAATGACTTCCTAATAAAAAATGGAAATATTAGAAGTAGTGCAAAAATTGATGTTTTAGCAATACTTACTAATATAAAATGACTTTTTTTTAAACAGTCATACAAAATGACACTTCTCCTTTTTGTACAAACGTTCCTGAAACACAAGATTCAGTCTTATCTTAAGCTTTCTGTAGTACACTACAGAAGTGCAATTTCAAGCAAAACAATAGTGTGTACTGAAATAAAAGGGCTGCTAGTGCTGACCAGGAAATATTTTCTATTTGTTGGCTGTTAAAGAAAAATAAGACGGCTTCTAGAAGGGGTAATTTTCAAGATGTGTTTATGTAAACTGCAATTTTTTTTTTATATGTGCTGTTTTCCATCTGTAAAAACCTCAGGCTTTTCTTTGTTTTTATATTAAAGATTCCAAAAGGAAAAACATGTCAACCGACATTCCAGCTTCCTACAGCAGAGAAACTAATCTTCTCCGGATGTTCAACCACACAAAGCTACCAACTAACTTTCTGTGGGGTGTGTTCGGACAAGAGATGTTGCATACCCAGCAAGTCCAAAATGATCACTATACAGTTTGAGTGTCCCAATGAAGGCTCCTTCCAGTGGAAGATGATGTGGATTACATCTTGTGTATGTCAGAGGATTTGCAGTGATCCAAGAGATATATTTTCTGAACTCAAGATTTTATAAGGAGTTACATCATTGACAGCAATAGTTGCAAGGGTGACAGCACATTCACATCCTGAAGCCTTCTGCAATCTTCATAGTGAAACTACATGTGTGAATATTCATTTGTTAAATACCAACTGCAAAATGCATATAAGAGCACATCTTTAATTTAAACTTTTTTTTAATATGGGGGAAATACATTCTTGAGAAGTATGTATATGCTATTAGTACTGTCAGAACAAGAGCTTTTGTAATTAAAAGGAAAAAAAAAGCACAGCAAGACAGCTTTGTACCCTACTGTAACATGCACTGCCCAAATGACAAGTACATGTAAATTCACAGATGCTGTAAATAACCTATCAGAAAAAGACTTTTTAATCTGTAATACCTCATCTACCATCCTTGATTATCAATGTAACATTTACAACTATGCATCTGCAAGGCTCAAACACATCAGTGCTGTTTCAAACACACAAAAAGTTAATTTAAAGCGCTGACTGCTTTTTTGCAGCAATTAATCTTTCTCTAGTGCTATGAATATAAAAAATGCACTTGCAAAGGAACAAAGAAGGGGACACCTACAGATAACAGAACTGCAAAATATCAAGGAAATAGCATTTTTTAAAAGAAAGCATTTTAAAAATAGTCATCAGCAACTGTTACCACAATGTTTTATTGAATACTTCTGGCCTCATACACTGAAAATTGTGCTTACTTATACACCCACTCAAACTTTAAGAATTCATTTTATTGGTCCATTCTGATCTGAAACAGTTTACTGCTCTCCTGCTGTTTTAAGACAGTCAAAGCTGGCAAGCAACTGGAAATAGCTGTACATTTTATTTTCTGAAAGTTCTTACTGTCATAGAAAAGTCAGCTTACCCCAATAATTATATACATTAAAGCATCTATTTAACTTGCATTCTTTTTTAACCATGTAATCTTTGTTCTCCAAACAGTCTTCATTATAAGTGCTTGTTTCACTCAGAAGCATAGTGTATTAATTCATTATCAAGTGCAACTCCGCTTTCTTGAACACGTATCATTAAAATAATGTTAATTAATATTCCAATTATAATATTTGAAAAAACATGCATTTTCTTGAGTTTTCTGATATTGCCGCTTTTGATCTCAACTAAGAATGCTCTAATACAGCTAATCATAGCTAAGTACAAGGAAGCAAAAATATTAAACTACGAACACTGTTTAGAGCATTCTAAAATGACACATGAGTATGCTGCAAAATTTAGAGGTTTGCTTTCATCTTTGAAAACAGCATATGGGTTCTCCTTCTCTTCATAGTTACTTGTTAAAAAAATTAATAAACTAGTAATGGTGATCCTTCTTTGAAGCAGGGCCTGCCTGTAGTTTATTTTAAGTTCAAGGTTTAAGACGACTTTAAGAACTACATTTTGGGCTGCTACAACCTTTCTTTCTTCTCCTCCTTACAGCATGTGGTATGTTAACTTTACAGTTAGTATGACAGCTCTCTACTGAGTTCCTCCATAATTAGGTGCTGGCAAGCAATACACTTTTGAATCTTTCTTGCAGGGGGGGCCCATCACTTAATATTACTCCCCCCCACCCCAGAGAGCTGAGGCAGTTGTCCCAGTCCTTTTTTAGAATGACAAGATGTAGGCACTCTGCAAGTCATTCTGGTCAACTGAAGTGGATGAAATGCTTAGGGGAAAAAAAGAAAAATAACAGTTCTTCCTTCTTTACACAGCTATCTTCAGTCTTGATGGCTCTATTCTAGGCCCACCTTTTGTGGCATCCAGTTCATTATACTCTTCTATTAGGTCAGACAAAGATGATAAGGCTTCAGAGAAACAGCTTTGCTCCATCCCGTCTATATGCAGATAATGGTGAAGATGAGCCTATGAGAGTAACGAATTCAGCTTTAATCTTTTCTTAGTACCTAACTTAATTCATTTGGATCAGGAACCATCATTTAGCCTGCACCAAAGAGGGTAGCGCAAAGCACTGTAGAAAGTACATTTAAAGACTGGTTTCATGACATCCCTTCCTAATATATTTGGCAACTTTAGTAACAATCCTCTATGGAATTGCAGTTGGTATTACTGTTTTCTTACACATGGAACTTTTCATATTCTGTCTTTTGGGGGACACTCAAACAAAGTGGTAGGTAGATCTGTCAGATACCCTCTCACTGCTGAGGAAAATAAGTGTATTGTCTCGTAAGTACAGGTAAATAAATGGTCTGCTTTTAAACAGCAGCTGTTGAAATGATTCCTTGATGGGTGTCACAAGCTGGGTTGGGCTGTCACTTTTAAGTAGTCTCTTCGTGAAACTACAATTTGTTTCCCAATAACGTAAGACAGTAATGCTTAGTGGCTATGAATGCTACAATAACGACAGAGCCATACCTTTTTCTTGTAGAGCCTCATGAACCTGTCTTTGAGTTCCATAAGAGTCGGTTTCACACAGGTGTTGTTTGCTAAAGCCAGAAGCGAGTGGGAATGGCCCACAGGAGGTACTGAACACAAGCCAGTTTTCCATCCCTCTTGATTCCAGGAGACAAAGTGCAGGGATGGCTTCAACCTGTGATTCAGAAGTTTGCAGATATATATAGAATGTAAAGAACACAAAACCTAAGTTTCCCTTGCTAACAAACAGTCTCAAAAGGTTGACCTTTAAGCTTTCAGAGAAAGCCAGTTATAACGCATTCTGCATAATACACTCTAGGCTTCAGACTAAAACTGTTTATGCATTTTAAATTTAAATTGCAAATACCAATTTTGTTTTGTTAATTTAATGTACCAATTTTTGAAAAGCAAAGTTACAAGGCACCGATTTCTATAAAAGGGTCTGCAAACACTCTGAAGTCTCATGGAAGGGGCAGATAAATAGCGTGCAGGAACAGTCTGTCTACCTACAGTTTAGGTGTAGGTAAAATGTTTTTGATTCTTAGAAATCTTCTTCATGCGCCCCTGTCTGCATGTAAACTTCATTCTGCATGAGAAACCTGTCTGCCCTTCCTGTTGTAATCTACTACAATAGTGTAACAGGTAGCAACAAAGTGCTAACAACACAAGGTCGTCAAAATAAGGGCTCCCTACCCGCATGAAAAAGAGCTGGCTTCCATTCAGAAAAAACAAATTTCTACTACAGAGCCCATTCTTCCAATATTCCACAATGGCAGGCGATCTGGGGAAGGCTGGGCTTTCAGAGGATGGGAGGAGCAGCTCAGGGACATCTAGTCAGCTCCCTTTATTTCCAAGAAGGCTGTATCTATTATGCTAACTAAAGTAAATTATTTACATTTTCTTCTCTTCTGAAATTAAGAAAAAAATATTTGTTGAGCAAACTGATTTGGTGTTGAAACTCTTCCGGTGAAAAGCGAGAGCACCGTAGACAACTGACAACAGCTTCTATAATAAATACCATGAGTACTTTGTGCAGCATTACAAACCTTTCAATATTTCTGCGAAGATCTGAAACCTGCACGTTTCCTCGAACGAGGAGTGCACAGGCAAGGTACAGACTATGCTTTGGATCTGCTTGAATTAGCTGATGATCTCTACTAAAAGCATCTGAAAACATCTGATCCAACCTGGGTCAAGAGAAAGCAGAGTTATCTACTTTTATTAAAGCAGGCTACAAAAGTCCTTCAGAACTCCCACCTTCAGAGATTAAAAGGTTCATAAAGTTCTGAAAATAAAGGTACATTTAAACTGGGATAGTGAATGACAGAAAAAAAGATTCAAACCTTTATTTCTCCATGTGGTATTAGAATTTTTTTTAGAAGTAGACCATCTCTATTCTCCCTCATGTTACAACCCAGTGTTGAGTCTGAAGTCAGAGAAGTTGGCAGATTAAAAGAGACTATTAATAAGGAAAGTAGGTCAATGTTACAAACTATTAAAATATTCAGGTGGATTTAACTACCTGAGGTTCTGGTTACATGCCAATTTGAGCAGGCAATTTCACTACTCGTGGAGGATCTGACAAGAAAATACCAAAGTGCTGCTGCCCAGAACTGATCATCTGCCTGCTCTGCTTTCCTGTCTCAAAGGAGCAATGAACCATATCACTGCATTAATTTTGGTTAATTTTGGTTCTAATTTTATCCTGTATGCCTTCTTTAAAAGATGACACAGCAGACTATATTCTTCTTCTCTTATCTCCTCAAGCAAATCCCATTAGGTCTCTGTGGACCCATAGCATCTAAGCCATTCTTTTTATTTGTTCCAAGTTCTCTGCATCTCTCAGCTCTATTTTTTTTTTCAAATCACTTCTCCCAACAATCTGCCTGTAAAAAAAAAAAAAAGAGAGAGAGACAAACGTACTATTCTTCCCACCTCATTCCAAAATACCACTGACTATGCATTTCCTCATAGTCTGCTATTCTCCCTCTAGCACTGTGTTGCCTCCTCGGCGTATGGTTTCGGGAAAGACGTTGAACTGATCGCTACAACTTACTGTCACAGAAAGAGGGCAGTCTCACCCTCTTCTCCACTTGTTTGCCTACTCCCATCACTTACCCTTAGCTGCCTCTATCACTGTTTGGACTTTTTTCTGACCTATCTTGCTCTCTAAAACAGGAGAAACTTGTTTTAATGGGTTATTTTTTCTGCCATGTCAGTGGGCTAAATCATCTTACAGAAAACTTGACAAGCATCAGCAGAAGGAACCAGTGGCTCGAAAAAAGAAACTGCGAGGAGGAAAGATAAAAGGTGAAGCAAAACGTGTCCCTTTCGATTGTTACAATAAGCTGTTAAAGAGGCTCACTGCATGTCATGAACAAAGCAAGATGCCCTTACTTCCCAAGGAGTCTTGTTTAATTCCTTGTTTGTCTTTGTAGCACTTTGCGAGTGAACTGCAAAGTGTAACTTAACTTGTGGTGGGTTCTATCAACCTAGTAATAAAGGCATTTCCCAGCAGAGCTAATAAAAACACATTTTAAGCTTGCTAACTTAAACATGACAGAGGTATGATCTTAAAAAGCAAATACCAATTCATTTGTGGGTTTTTTTTCCTTCATTTTCCTTCCCTCATCACTCTGTTATCAGCCATGTTGTGCTGATGTAGCTCAACAATCCACTTTCAGGTGCTAACATCTCCTGGAGGTCACAAGAAGTGCTTGTGAAGGGATGGGAACATGACCCACAGTTAGGGAAATGGGACAGAGAATGTTCTCAAAAATCAGCAGGACAAATCTGAATATATGGCGGGCTTTTAAAATCAATTAACTCCTCCCTTTCAGACTTCCAGAACTTCTAGCCTTACTTTTGCTATACAATGAATTTTTTTAATGGAAACTATAGAAGAATTAAAAATGAAACTTCAAACGTAGACAGTTTGCTAATTCCGTAACAACCTCTTCTTCTTACCTTCTAGAAGGTACATTAACATCAGCCAAAGTATACAGAGGAGTCAAGCTTGAAACCAGGTAATGAAGTCGAGGAAAGGGAACCAAATTCATGCTGATTTCATTAAGATCCATGTTAAGCGAACCCTCAAACCTAGCAGAGCTGAAAAATCAACAGAGCCGTTTAAAAACTATTTAAGTAAATGACTTGTGTATCGTAAACATTATCTACTTTTCAGTTGTTCTCTATAATGAAACAGGGAAACAACAGAGTTCAAGAATATCCTTTCAGGAAATGCCAAACTGTTTAACTATATCAGGCAGAACACTGCCATTTTTCATTTCCTTGCACTTCTCACAACAGAACAATTAAGCATCAAGACTGAGACCTTATGTGTATGGGCTGTAGTCTTTAGCAGTGTTTTTCAATATGCTGACACAACTGCTTGAAGCCAGTTTTAATACATAGGTGTAATAAAACATGTGGCTCCAAACATTTCTGACAAACTCTTTAAGAAAAGTTGACCAAAACTCTGAAGGTATATTTCACCAGGAGTTTCTTGCAGCAGTGGATGATTTAGGAGCTGACATTTGATTTAGGAGATGACATTTGTAAAAGGATTTAATTGGCCTAGGAAGGCCTAGGAAGGCTAATCTCTATGGTCTCCATCCAGTGTTACTGAAGGACAACATGCTTCTGCCTACAGACAGAAGTTCTTAGGCTATCACGGCTACAGCAACACCACTGACATCTGAATACCTTCTTATACTTCAAGGCTTAATCATTAATTCTTAAAAAGAGGAGACTAACATCAATTTGAAAATAATCAATGTTATTTGAGGTAATGTAGGCATTCTGCCTCCAGCAACACTACTTTTACAGCGCAAAAACCTGTAACTTTACCTTGTTCATTCATGGCATCAAATGGCTTCTCCTGTACAGTTTTTGTACTGCCTGTACTTGATGTTACCAAGCTGTTTTGCTTCACAATTGTTCCTAGCTTTCCAGAACTGATCATCTGATGAATTTTATTAACTATATCAAACAAAGACTTTGAGAGAAAAATAAAATCAGGAATCATACAAGACGTCTTGGGCACAGAGTTCTCAAATTCAGCACCTCCATTTTTTATTTCAAATAATCTTAAAACTCAAAGAAAAACTAAGACATGGTAGTTCTAGTTAAAAGACTGTGCTATGATACATGTAAGTACAACTTGTGACCAATTCCAATTGACTGAAGTGTTTCTAAATGTTTGTTCCTTACATGTCACAAACTTACATACAGCTTAACTCAGAAAGAAGTCTGAATTCTATTCAAATATTCCAAAACCTTATCTTCTAAAAAGGACATTTCAAATTCTTGTAATTCCTGTGGAAGTAAAAATATATTATTTAAATATATTTCACTTTCTCTAGCTTTCTTCTAACCAAAAAGCAATTCAAGAAAGTCGAAGTTGGATTCAAATGTCGTTTAGTAGTTGTTTATGTGGCCAGGTACATCTATGATGCCCATATCCCTTACCAGTAAAGTCAAGTCTACTTGAATTTGGCATGCGTTATTCATTTCCCTTGCAGCATTGTACTAATGCTACACACAAATCAATTGCTAGAATGATTTTTATGATTCTTGTCCTCAGTAAATAGGAGCATTTCACTGTTTACCTTCAAAGAGACATGAAAACAATTAACTCTGACGACTTTTGAGGGTGGAAGAGCGATATTTTTTTTCGAAGATGGAAGGAACAGAGCGACTTTTAAGTGATAGTCAGATTCATTTCAAAAGCCTGCAAGTGATTTAGAAGTTCAATTATCATTTTAAAAAATGAAATGATGCTTTTTAAGACTTGATCCTAAAATCAATACACAGAAGGAAGAAGCACTTCCTATATGCAGTTTATTAAAAAAGAAATTGACAGAAATAGAATATTATTTCTTACTTCATTCTCTATTGGTAGCACACAGTCTGCATGGTCATTAAGCTCCTTCATAGCCAGAACGCTATTATATGGAGAAGTAATAACATCATCTTCACCAGAGGGATAAACTGAAGTAACAAATCTATATACTTCTGGGAATTCATCCTCAAGCAAATTCAGTACAAAAGTTCCAAGACCAGATCCTGTCCCTAAAAATAGTTATGAATGAGAAGACAGAATGAGAGAAGATAATGCTTGGAAGAACATGGGAAACCTTTTACGTCTCACATGCTGGAAACATAACTTTTCAATCACATACATGAAAATTTTATGAAGTACTCAGCAGACTGTGGAGGCTATTGGCACATAAGTTTAGGCAGAAAATTATTTTTCTGTCTTGGAAAAACCCAAGTGAAAAAAGTATTTCCCATACCAGAGAGGATGAAATGCACAATCTCAAAAATTTCTGCAAACCAAGAAGTCCTAAAACATGCATCTGTCCAGGTAACCAAATTTTCCCTGACCTGGTCTTTTAATTTATTTAAAAAAAAAATTGAATTTTGAAAGAAAATACGTGTTTAAAAAACATTGAACTAACTCTTCTTCAGACAAGTCTTTAAATTTACTTTCCCACTGAGATTTCTTCCTCATCAACACTAAGTTCAAGTCTGAGCCTTAAATTGTAGGTTCTTGTCTTGGACAGCTAACCGAACCTCAGCAGCTGACAATTTCATCTATCAACAATGCAGCAATTTTCTGCAATAACGGCAAGAATATCTGCAGAATCTCTCAAATTAAGTAGTTGACCAGAAAAAAGACCTTTGACAAAACTCTTTGTCATATTTAGAGCTATTTGCAGTGTCTATTTCCACACCACAACCATTTATAATACACGCTCAATGTCAAGCCACTTGATTTGTCCACGTTTCTGGGGAGAAAGCCTTAGTGATAAGACAGCAATAGTAAAGTTGTCATCGCAAAAGACCCTCCCTTCAGATTTATTAACAAAGTAGTTAGACTGGATTCAAGAAAATTGTGTGGAATAACGACAGGAAAACAAGTTAAACAACGTCAGAAGCCTCCTTCAAACCCTTCCTGAAAACTCTCTGACTACAATTAAGAATAACTCGATTATGGCAATGATGCCAGTGTTCTGAGGCCACTGCCCCTTCTTTTGGTCAGTATCACCGCAGTGTTTCCTTGCATTTGCCACCTGTCTAGATGCATCCACTCTGTCTTGTCTTATAAATATAATATAAATTGTACTTTTGTTCTGTTTTGACTGTGCTTACTTTAGTTCACAATTAGACCCCCTCAGTGTTCTAACAAGTAAAAAATAATTCCAAGTCCACTTAACTGGACCATGTTAACGGTTTTTTATTCTGCATGATGTAGATTATTACACTGATCTTCTTTTCAAGATCTAGTTTTTTTCTTTTCACCTGTGGCTGGTGCAATCATACTAACCATACAATTACTTACCACCGCCCATAGAATGAATTATAAAAAAACACTGTAGACAGTCACAATGTTCTGCAGTTTTCCTCAGCTTTTCCACAATGTTTTCCCGGTACTGACAGCCGTATACCTTGTGACCTACAGCCCTGAAAGTAAGAAAAGTACTTAGAAACCTCCCTAACAATCGTCTTCCAGTTTTTTCACTCCACCTCCTCCTATTTGAGATTTTATATGCTATTGCTTAATAGTCGAGAGCAGGTGCAACTCCTGATTTGGGAGAGCTGCAAAGCTGTGACTACACCACGGGATAGGAAAGTTGGGAAATGGTTTTAATATTGAGGATGCAAGCAGCACCAAGTTCACAACTTTGGAGCTTGCCCTATTATTTTGTATTAGAGGAAAATAAATACCCATGTCAGATGATCAAATTTTATCCAAAATTGTTATCATCAAATGAACGTTATGTACCCCTTAACAAAGAGGACATCCATATGTAATAGGGGTACTGATCTTCATTTGAGTATTATGCAAGTCAGCTCTTACTACTAATTAAAAAAACCCAAACAGATCATTTTCAACATACTTTCCTGTTAGATGGTGAGCTTATGGAATGCTTTATTTCCTGTATTGGTCTCTCTTCTGGTATATTTGCGGATAATTTGCTTCCCAGTCTGTAGTGCACTGAACATTACTAGAGATTAATGTCTCTGAAAATTTGGAATTCATTATGTTATTCACCTGTTTCCTGAATTTCTCTTTTTAGTAGCGAACCTTACATGCACAGAGCTGGAATCTGTGGTGCTTAGAAATCAGAAGTGCATTTGTTCATATAACTAGTTTCTTTTTCTACCCTAATTGCACAGTCCCAAACTAGATTATGGCTTCAACAGAGCAGTGGTGAACAACAAAGAAACAAAAATATAAACTACGTTCTTAAAAAAAAAGTGCCAAAAACAGGAAGAAAAATAGACAAAATGATGTATCAGCAGAATTATCCTTCTGTAAAATGGTTTTCAAAGCCTTCCTCCAGGCAACAGTAACTCTAAAGTTGACAAGCAATATGTTGCAGCTCCCCAGGTGCAGTAGAATGAACCAGAATGCTACTATTATCATTTTCCCTTTCAACTGCCATCTAATTATTGCTAGAAATCCGTTCTGAAGAGTTAGGAAGAATTTGCTCTGACCAGTTGTTTCCTGATCCAGAAACGTCTGTGATAAGCTGCTTGCTATCAAACACATCTCTCAACGGTCCCTGAAGAATTTCATTTACCACACCCTCCTCCATGTCAATCAAGAGTGCCTTTGAGAAAAGAAAGAATTAAAATTCAGTCAGTAAGCCACAGTTTGAAATAATCAGACAAAGAAATATAAAATTATTTACAAGATAAAACACACGTCGTTTCTACTATGTTCCAGAGGGTCTTGTTTTACAGCTGTAGTTAACTAAGAGATCAATTAGCAAAATTCATCTTGACTGCTTTGCTAGAAGTCATTCAGTAGGACAGCATTTCATACATTTCAGTTTTGTTAAATTTTTAAAAATACTTTGCCCCAGTACTGCAGAGTAAGGAATTTAAACTGTTTTTATATTTCAAGCTTTGTTGCTTCTTAATCACGTAAGAAACAGAAGTGGCTTAAAGAGGTTGCCCTTTAAACAGATTCAAAAATTCTCTTTGTAATATCCACAATCATTTTATTAAATTATACTTTGAATTATTCAGGAAGAGTGGCTGCAAACTGCATTACTCCATTGTAGCAAAAGACCTATTGTTAGAAGTTTTATTATTCAAAATACTTTTTGAAAGTATGTTCATTTATAAGAACCTTACGAAAACTCCTACACTGTCAGACATAAATATGTGATGTAAAGGAATGACCTTTATAGATTGCCTTACTCGTGCTTTTAAAGAGCAGATTTTTCCTTTAGAAATATCACGACCATCTCCACCACTTCTAGGAAAAAAAAAAAAATCCGAACTCAAAACCATACTAGGAAATAAGGCAATAAATACTAGAATCAAATTCCATCCTTAATCTTTTCAGTTCAGAGGACTGTTACAATATAAACAGAAACACTGAACATAAAACACTGCTAGGAAAGATCTCAGGAGGGCTGTAAAAGAAAGCAATTATAGGATCCAATCTCAGCGAGAAATATCCTGAGCAGTACTTCATCAGGAAGCTGAAAAGATAAGCATTGAAGGCTTACTCTCAGATACAGCCTCCGCTCTGTAGTAAGTCTGCAAGCATTGCCAAAAGCATTTTTACCTAGCATGTGGTATGTCTGCATCATATAATGGAACATAGTGCACCAAGTAGCACCACTGGATTTTCAATAGGGGTAGCATAGCACTATGCTACTCCTCAGGACATGAAAGCAGTATAACTGCATGAGCAGAGCACTTTGCTTGACTTATTTTGCCATTGAGATGTATGAGTTCAGAAATTATGCTGGGCTGACACAGTTTTATTTTCTTTTTTTCTTGGATTGGTTATACTGCACCAGTCTGGGGGGCTATGCATCATATTCCATCACATACTTTTTTCATAATGAACTGTGGTGCCTCTGCACTCACAGAATGAGATATTCAGGTCTGGCTAAACTATACCAACACAGGAAAAAAAGGCAGGGAAGATGGCTCTAATTTTCCCCTCAACTTACCTAATTTGGGTGCAGGTCAATCCTCAGATCACACAAAACTTGAAGTATTTCTTAGACTGTTTTACATTCAACCACAAAAACATTCCAAAACCTCCGATGAAATTCCCTACAGCACTCAGTCCAGCAGGAACAAGCGGAAGAGAGACAGTACAGGACTGTACTGGAATCCTCAAGGAGTTTCTACCTTCTCACTCCTAGCAGCTCTCCAAACACTTTCCATTAGCTGAGCAGCTCATAGCATCCTCCAGTATTCATGCTGATTACTCTAGCCTATGTAACTCCTTATGAGAGTCCTACAGCATCAGCAAATCCAGCAAGAGAAGTTCTATTTCTCTTCAAGGACTAACAAACCCAACAAAGAAGGGGAAAAAAAAAATCTCTACCTTTCTCCAGCTGTTGTCTTTTGTGGTCTTCCATGACAGCCTGTCACATTCAATAACTTACTTTGACTCAATTGCTTGGAAAAAATTCCTGAATTCTCTAGAGTCCCTACATATCTCCTAGATACACTTATTTTATTTTTGACAAATGGAGTGTGTTTGTTTATGTAGATGTGTGTGCCTTTATGTGACTTAACAAGTGTGGTTTTTTTATTTATTTTATGCACTATATGTTTTTATAATGTTATTATGTTATTTTTATACCGTTATGTGTTTTTATAAACCGGTCAAATTGTTAAAAGTGTATTTAAAACATATATTTCTGCCTACAAAACCATACATTGTTTATTAGGTTGCCTATGACTACCAGTCTTTGCTGTTTGTAATGCAAACTGCATGCTATTACGGTACGACAACTTCTTTTACATTTAGGAGATTGTTTTACGTGTTCTGCATACCTAAGTTTACCACAACAAGAATGCTCATATACAAAAACTGTTTTATACAATTCTACCAGAGGTGGACTCATCAGCATGCTTGATTGTTGCACGCAAACTCGCTATGCATTTGGGTAATTATTGTGCCTGATCTCTAAGTTACTTTTAATAGCTTTCACTACACAACCAGCTTGATGGAGGTAGTGTAAAATATTTTGCTTTCAGCTCTATTTGAGCAAGGTGGCCTTCTGGCCGTTATTGATATTATTAGAGAAGGCTTTCAGGCTTTCCCTTTCTTGAATGCTCTAATCCCTGGTTTCTACAAAACTAATACTAGCAGCAGCATCTACCAAAGATGATGTATGTTCCTGCAGCACATGAGCAAATCTAGATGTCTGTTACACACAGGAAGTATAACTTTCCATCTTCAAACAGGCCCACGTGGACCATCTGTTAAGAGTAATGATCACCGGGTTGATAACTCTTACAGATTGAAGCAATAAGCTTTTAAACTCAAAAAGCACAAGCCTTTACAACATGTACCAACAAATCAAGATGCCAGCTGAAGAGTCTTTATATTCTCTGATGGGAAAGGAAAGGGAAGGAGAGAGAAATGCATAGTGCAGTTACTGAAGCGTGAAAAGAAGTCATTTCAGCAATCCATTAAGTGCCAACTCTGACCAAGATTACAGACCTAAATGCATTTTTTACTTTAAGAAACAGACAAAACTGTCTTTCTATTAAACAACTTTCTCGCAGCCAAATTATCTCCCCACTGAAATCAACATCAGGGTTAAAAGTGTGGATGTTCAGCTCCCTCGTTAATTCAGTGACGGGATTATTTGTAAATTCCTCCGTAGACACATCACAGAAGAACGAACATAAACACATTCTCAGTGTTACACAGTTTATTAATCACTATATGAGAAAAAGAGTCTCTCTGGTTCTGCAAGAATGTTGTTTACAGCTGCTTCAGACTGGATAACCCATCTGGATTATTCTGAAGAGCAGTATGGCATAGCACAGAAGACTGAAGTCTGTCATTTTTATGGCATCAGTTCTATGCCTGCAATGACCTTCAAGGTGACCTAGTTCTTTTTGAAAAAGTTAAAATAAAACCCACCACAACAACAAAAGACTCAAACCCCATAAGCGAGAAAGTACTAAACCACTCTCCTTTAAGTTATGGTTCAAAGCTACACTCAAAAACGGGAATTACTTCACTATGAATATGAACAGACCCTAAAAAAGATGGGATTTGAACATTCAGTCTTCTCTCTCCCAGCTGGAGGAACACTGCCTGAAACTTCTGCAGTATTCAGTGAGATGAATCCTTCCTCCTTACATACATAAAAGGGATGTTTACATTGCAGCCAACCGGCCAAATTAAAATTTGGTGGTTTCATCTGGCCATGTATAAAAACACATACATAGTTAAAGACCAAATATTCTCATATACATAATTAAAACCAAATATTCTTGATAAAAAAGATGTTGCAGGAACTACTCACAGGGAACAGCAATGATAAATCCCAATGCACTTGCTTCTTCTTTCAAAAAGTTAAGAATTGAGACTAAATAAATATTATTTCTGTACCATTTTAATTAAAATTGCATGCCGCACTGCAGCCTTGCCATATTATGGAAATAAAGAGAGGCTAGTCAAATGTTTCGTAATCAATTACAATGCGCAGCAATATCCAGGTGGCCGACTGTTTTATTCCTTTAAACAAACTGCAAGGATTTTTGTAATTGGACAGAAAAAAGACAACTGAATGCTCTTAAGGCGTGAACTTGATAACCTTAAAAAAAAACCAAAACAAAACCTTAGCTGCCAGTCTTTGTGTAACAAACTAGTCAGATAAAAGGGATTTAAAAACTGACATAATCTTTTCAGGTTACTTTATATATAATTCCTCATACTACTCTCCAATAAACGCCGCTAATACAGTAGTCAGAGAGCTTGCAATCTAAACATGACTGGCAATTGCAAAAGCTATCATATCTTCACTGTCCATTTTTCAGATGGGAGGAAGGTAAAAGTAAAATTGAATACATTCAAAACAGTTAAAATTGGAAAGGGACAGATAATGTTCTGAAAAGACGACTAAAAAGCAAAATCTTTTTATTTTAAGCACAAACTAAATATGATCTGAAACAAAGAACTTTAATTTAGGTTAAGAGCAAAGACTAGAACTGTTGATCTACTGTGTTAAACTCAAAATGAGCCTCTTGATAAAACTTACCTGGTATCCACGTTCCTAAAGAAACTGCTTAATGCTTCATCATAAACTCCCTTCTAAAAATAAACAACACGACATAAAATCAAGACTTGCAACATCAGATATTCTCAGGGCTTGTTCATAGAGTAGCTTAGGTTGGAAGGAACCTCCGGAGGTCATCTGTTAAACCTTCTCACTCAAAACAAGGCCAACCTTTAAATTCAACCTAAACAGCTCTAATCAGCACTAGAGAAACAGTACTTCATTGAAACACCAACTTGACGTTAAAGATTTATAGGCAGATCTAATTAGGAAATGAAGTTTTCAGCAGAAGATTAAACAAATATATTTTCTTCATATCTAAAGACATATGATTCTACTGCAGCTCCCAATGCAGCTATTAAAATACTGCTGTTTAGCTGACTCAGTTCACCAGCGGTACAACACTGAGACAATTTCATGCCCATTCTATCAAGGTCCATGAAGTCCAGTAGAAAGAACAGCCTGTTACACTGTATCAGTGATTCCCAACCCGAGAGCTAATGGATGGTGTGACCCTAAAACTAAAAGAGACCCGAGAAGTTTATACACCTTCATAGTAATATGGTTTTACAGACCATTTGCCACGGCCTGGGAGACCTTACGAGGCAGAGCCTGGAGCTCAATGCTGCCTACAACACTAGAACTAAGGGACTCTCCACACGTGTATGAACTTCATCCACTGCCTTTCTGAAAGCTTCCAAAAGGACTACTCAGCATTATCTTTGTTAACACGTGGAATTTACCAGGAAAGAGTATACTCATAGTATGGCAAGAGGAGTGCATTTTTTTTTCCAAGCTGCTCAGCCCAACCCACTTCACCGCACGGCATGTGCTAGCACGGAAACGAAAGGTGGGTTTGGGTGTGACTGCTTTTTGGCTTTATTGTCAAGGACACCGCGCTGCAAGACAAGGATCCTGTTTTAAAAACAGCCCTCTCCCTTCACAGGTTGTCTCGCACCTGGCAATCTCTGCCTTTCGGGACACAGCCAGGGCTTTCCCAGCTGGCAAAGACTGCAGAAAGCCAAATTGCATCAGAGCTCGTTAGCTGAGCTGCATAAAACCCTGCGGGCAGTTTGGCTCGTAACGAAGCGGCCTTGATTTCACCGAACCAACACCGCGAGCCGTTACTGCGCAGGAGGCGAGGGGCGCCCCTCCCCCCGGGGGGCGGGGG